GGGCTAGATGGGCCCGTTGGTCCAGTGGCCATGAGGTAGGGGGTGAAATGCCTTAGAAATGACGGCCAGGCTGGATCAGACAGCGCCCCCTAGTGCCATGCTGGGGCAATGGGGCCAATCCTGACTGATGAGGGAGCAACCCCTACTGAGCCCCCCACCCCCTTCAGCCCTGTACCCTAGTGCTACAAATCCCCCATATCTTGCTTGGTCTGACCCCACTTGATGCCCTGGGCCCCCCCAACATCCTGCTTGTGTCCTGCGGTGTCCCAGCCCCTTGGGCGCCGCCTGGGGTGGGAGGGGGCTGGGGGGGGAACACACCAGTTGCTCCGGCACTCACAGCTGCTGCTGTTTCCCAGGCGGATCGGAATCACTGGGTCTGACCAGCCCCATCATCGCCGGGGCGAGTGCAGCAGCCGCCGGCTTCCTCCTCCTCCTCCTCCTCGTGGCCTTCGTCTGCTTCAGAAAAACCCGAGCCAGTGAGTGCTCCCCGCAGTGAGGGAAGGGTTAAACCTGCGGCTAAGCAGGGTGGGATGGGGTCACGGCTTGGATGGGGGACTGGGCCGGGAAAACCAAGGAGTGGGGGGCTCAGCAGGGGGCGCTGCTGCGTGTGTAATCCCTGTACACACAGCGGTGCCGCCCCAGAGGTGGCCGCATCTCAGTGCCAGGCGAGGGATCCCTGAATAAAGAGCCACCGGCACCGTGCTTCTCAGGTAACTGGGGTGACAGAGGAGCCGACTGGCCTGGACCAGGTTCGTTATAATGAGTCACTAACGAGGGAGGATTGGGGACAGGAAAAGCCCCCTCCCGAGTTAATCTGCCCCTCCCTCCGGCGCATGCTATGGTGTTGTGCTGCCCCCTGCTGGTCCGGCCCAGCCCAGCAGGGATCCAGGCTCAGCACCAGCAGCAGAGGGGATCCCCCCAGACTCCCCGATCCCTGCTGCCCTGTGGGGGTGAGTGGCCGGGTGCTGGGACCGGGGGATCCCGATCGGCTCATGGGGGATTCTGGTTTGTGTCCCTCTGCAGGAAAAGGAGCCGCACCGAGACCGAGCAGGTAGGAACCCGGCTCCTCCCCCTCCCGATCGACCTGCCGGGGTCACAGGGCTCCTGGGTTCTGTCCCTGGCTCTGGGGGGGGGTGGGAGAATGGGGGTTGGGGGCCAGGACTCCTCCGAGATGACCTGGGCCTGCTGACAGTGGAGGGGCACAACCCCAGAACAGCTGGAGTCACACCATGCCTGCCTCCCTCCCCCCGGAAAGCTGTGACCCCCCCTGCAGCTCCCAGCTGTTCCTCCGCTCCTGCCTCTGCCTCTCCCTGTCCAGCTCAGCTGCTTCGCAGGGAGGGGCCCGGCTGCAACATGTGACCGACGAATTGGGGGGGGGGCATGTGACTTACAAGTGGATTTTCCCTTTTAGCACCAGCCCCTCGGGGGTATTGAAGGCGCCGGCTCAGCAAGACCCCGACTGTGAGTAACTCACCCAAGGGGGTACCAGGGTGGGGCAGGAGCCCTGGGGAGGGGCGGGGCTTGTGGGGACTCCACCCATACGGGGCAGGGCCTGATTTACAGCTGCTGCTGGGTGGGACTAAGGAGAGGGTCCCGGAGGTAGCTGGTGTCAGCTGAGCTTCTTGCCTCCCTCCCCACCAACACCCTGGGGGACACCCTCCCCTCCCCCTCTAGTTCAGGGTCTCCCTCTTTGGGCCCCCCATTCTCCCCCCCAGGCCTGGAGCTTTGTGTGTCCCCCCTTCACTTCACCCAGGCATCCTGACTTCCAGCCCCCCTGCCCCGGCATAACCCCCTAGACTCTGCTGCTGTCTCTGTACCTCAGTTTTCCTCTCTATCACATGGGGCTAATGACCCTGGCCCGTGCTGTGGGGCGGGGGAGGGGTGGCTGTGCCAGGCTCTGAACCCCCAGGATGGATGGGGGGTCGGAGCTGGGTGTGGGGTTCTGCTCTGGGCCGGCCGGGGTTGTAGCTCAGCGGGTGTCTCTGTTCTGCAGACGCCTCCATCGATGAAGAGAAAGAGACGCAGACCCTGGTAAGCGTCCCCTGTTCCCCCATGGGGCCTGACCCCCATGGGCCCCACTCACCTTATCTGGCACCTTATCTATTTTGGGGTGGGAGTTGGGTTGCTGGGAGGGGCTTATGGGATCTCCAGCTGGGATTTCAGGTGTGTGTGTGTATGTGTGTCCTGTCACCCCCTGCTGAAGGGGACAAGCCCTGGTCTGTGTGAATGTGTGTGTGGTGGGGGTTGGTACACACATACACACACACACACGCACACACTCTAGTCACTCACTCCCCTCCCACCTCCAGGAGCCCGACCCCTGGCACCGAGGGACTCACCTACGCCGAGCTGGACGGCCAGGCGCTGCAGGCCAAGCCGGGGGGCCCGGCCCCTGCCTCTGAGCCTGTCCTGCCCAGCATGTATGCCGCGATCAACGTGAGCCGGGGGGCCCTGCAGTGAGAGCCCCCCGCAGCCATGGGGCGCCGGCCCACAGGGTGCAACAGACTCATTGACTCACAGTCTTTAAGGCCAGAAGGGTCCATCGTGATCATCTGGTCTGATCAGGCCACAAAGCCTCACCCACCCACTCCTGTAGCAGACCCCAGCCTCCGCTGAGTCACTGACGGCCTCAAATCATGGGTTAAAGACGTCAAGTTACAGAGAATCCACCAGTGACTCTAGTTTAAACCTGCCAGTGCCCCGCGCCCCAGGCTGCAGACGAAGGTGAAACCCCCCCAGGGTCTCTGCCAATCTGACCTGGGGGGGAAATTCCTTCCCGACCCCAGATACGGCGACCAGTTAGACCCTGAGCATGTGGGCAAGACCCACCCGCCAGACACCTGGGAACTGATTCTCTGTAGTAACTCAGAGCCCTCCCCAGCGAGTGTCCCGTCTCCGGCCGTTGGAGAGATTTGCTGCTAGCAGTCGCGGATCGGCTCCATGCCGTTGTGGGATGTCTCCTCATCCCGTCCCCTCCAGAAACGTCTCAAGCTCAGTCCTGAAGCCAGTTAGGTCCCTTTGGGAGGCTGCTCCAGAACTTCGCTCCTCTGACGGTTGGGCCTTGTCTACACTACAGAGTGTTATCGACAAAAAGCGCCACAATAACATCGCTATTGCACGTTCACACTGCGCTTCCTCTGCCGGCAGAGCGCGTCCACGTTTGGTGCTCCAGCGTTGACAGTGAGAGCAGTGCATTGTGGGTAGCTATCCCACCGTGCTACTCGGCACCTTCTGCAACTAGGGCTTGTGGGAAGGCAGAGTGGATCGCAGCATGTCCTGGGGGCGGGCTCAGCGTCCCATGGTGCGTTATTCCACGCTGTTCCGACTGCGTTTCGCGGCATTTCCCGGTTTCCGGTGCGCCCGCCATCCCTGTGTGAAAGGATGGGTCCCGCCCGGCTCTCCACTGCTGTGAACGCAGCGCGGCTGGCCAGGGAGGATGTCATGAGCTCCCAGTCTGAACGGGAACCAGAGCTGCCCGAGCTGCTCTGTGCCATGGAAATAAATAACACCGGCTTCCTCCTGGCATCACGGAGCGGCTGCCCACGGCGGAGCGTCGCTTTGGGGCTCGGGGAACAAGCGCTGAGTGGTGGGATCATATTGTTACGCAGGTCTGGGATAAACGACGCGTGGGGGGGGGTCACATGCCCTCCCACCCCCCGATTTCTGCCAGGGTGCGAGTCGTGGGAAAGGCACCAGCAGCGAGCGCTCCCGCTGAGACCCACTAGGTGTGGCCCAGAGCCGGGAAGTGAGACCGGGCTGGTAGTGCAGCTCTCTGTCAGAGGGGGCACAGGGAAGCTGGCTGAGTCCCATCTCTTCCTCGCCCGGCAGCCGCACGGCCCCCGTGAGAATAACTCCCCTTCATGGGTGACACAGGTCTGGTGAACTAAGTATTAAACCAGCAGGGGAATGTATGTACCTGCTCGAGTGCGGGTCTGGACTAGCCTGCCTGGGTGCGCAGAATGGAACTCAGGGAGTCGGGGCAATGGGGGGAGGCAGCGGGGACTGGGGCAATATGAGGTGTGGGGGGCTGGGGGAGGCAGCAGGGGCCAAGGAGCCAAAATACGTTTGCCTAGGGCGCCATTTTCCCTAAGGACGACCCTGGCAGGACCGGCCTTAAGTGTGGGCGAGGTGTGTGACCGCCCAGGCGCTGTGGTCACAAGGGTGTTGCTGGAGGGGCCTTGGCAGTCACCAGGAAGCTGACCATGCTGGTGGTGGTGGTGGGGAGCCCGTCATTGTGCCCTCCCCCCCGTCCCCACTATCTGCAGTTACCAGTCGCCCGGTCTGGGATGACGAGCCGTGGCTACAGAACGTTCGGATGTGGGAAGCCCCCTCCCTGGACCTGTGTGCGGAGCTCGCCCCAGCCCTGCGGCGCAAGGACACCCAAATGAGAGCAGCCTCTCGCGGAGTAGCGCCCGGCTATCGCTGTGTGGACGCTGGTGACTCCAGGCTGCTCCCGGCCAGTCGTGAATCCTCTGGAAGTGGGGAAGTCGATGGCGGGTGCCGCGTTAACACTAGCGCACGGAGCCGTTAATCGCATCTCGCTACGAAGGACCGTGACCCTTGGCAATGTGCGTGAAATAGCGGAGGGGCTTTGCGCAGTGGGATTCCCTAACTGCAGCGGGGCGATAGAGGCAACACAGATTCCAGTTTTTGCCCCGGACCATCTTGCGACGGACACATCAGTAGGAAGGGCACTTCTCCAGGGTGTTGCAGGAACTTGGGGATCACCGTGGGCATTTCACTGACCCCAGCGCGGGATGCTCCGGGAAGGGGCATGAAGCTCATATCGTCAGGAACACCAGCCTGGACAGAGAGCTGCAAGCAGGGACTTCCTTTCCGCACCAGAAGATTCCAGTGGGGGATGTTGAAATGCCCAGAGTGATCCTGGGACACCCGGCGTAGCCCCTGCTCCCGGGGTTCATGAAGCCTGACCCGGGAACCCTGGAGAGCACCAAGGAGCCCTTCAAACCCAGGCTGAGCAGGTGCAGAACGACCACGGGGGGAACCAGCGCCAGCCGGGCCGGGTACCGGGAGGGGGGACTCACCATAGAACCAGCCCTGGAAACAGGCTCATGGTGCCCAAGGAGCCACCCTGGGAGCTGGGGCTGGTTGGGTGGGACGGGGGCAGTGACTCCTGGTGCATGGGCCCA